ATACAAAAAACCATGGAAAATCACCATCTTTAATGGGTAAATCCAATATTTCGACTGGGCCATTTTCAATAGCTATGTTAAATTGCCAGAGGGTACATCATGTATTTTCATAGTATAACAACGTAACCAAGAGTGACCCCTGATGACGGCAAAATAAACAGCCAAAAACTTGTAGAACTGAAGATATAGCCAACACGACTCGGAGCATGGCATAATTCATCCCATTCCCCCCGTTTATGAAACACCTGCCATGGTCCCAAATATGAGCGTAAATCCCCTGAACCATGCTTTCCGGGCCGTGTGTCTAAATATTAGGATCCCACAGAATCCCATGAATTATTCACTAATCCATTAATCATCCATTATGATTGGGGTAATTAGTAATCATCCATTAATCATCGATATGTTGATTGGGGTAATAACATGAACTTTATCTTCATAGCCACCTGAAGTCAGACGCAGCGAAACGTCCGGGTTGCAGCGAACATGTTTTAATACCAAGGTCTTCGGATATAAAAACAACAACAACTGCTACGGCTGCTACGGGCAGAACTTTGGGCTGTGGCTCAACAAAAATCGCCAGCATCTGCGGCGGCTTGCCTCCTCTTGAAGATCAAAGACCCAAGTTTGATGGATCGAATTCCAATTTTTGAGGCTCTTCCTGTCTTTGTTCATCAAGTTGCACTGCAATTCACCAACCCCGAGAACTCAGCTATTTTGGGATACTGACTGTAACTAGCCCAATTCTTTTCGTAAAGTCGTCATAATGTACCCGAATATACTTGCTTTAGACTGATTTAGCTGGCCCAAAAAACAAGATCACTAGAACACATCATTTATCCTGGTTGGTGGTTTCAACCCCTCTGATAAATATGAGTTCGTCAGTTGGGATGATGAAATTCCAAATATATGGAAAGTCCTAAAATTCCGTGGTTCCAAAGCACCAACCAGATATATTGTTATTCCAATTATTAACCATTATTAAGCATAGATTAACCATAGATTAACCAGGAAAAATAAAAGCAATGTTCCAAACCACCAACCAGAGTATCTATAGTAAATATCTATCAGTAGTTGATGATATGATATATCATGATATATCTAGTATCTATAGTAACTGGTTGGTGGTTTGAACATTGTTTTATATTGTTTTAATAACTTGAAACATATTAGTCAGTTGGGATGATGACATTCCCAATATATGGAAAGTCAAAAAAAACATGTTCCAAACCACCAACCAGCTATGGTTTAGTATCACTACGATTTACCCACATTTTGAAAAATGGCAGATCTCGCCTGCCGCGAATCCAAGGGTTCGCTCCATTCTAGGTCACCTCCCAGATCCTCGGGTCGACATGGTATCAAGGTGAACCCCCGTTGACGAAAAACCATCGGAAAATGCTACTTCAACCATTCAACATGTGGGAAAATGATGCTTTGACCATGAGTTATGGTGATTTCATTCGATGTACAGCTTTATGATAGCTAAGTTAGCAAACATAACTCCAATTTCACTAGGGTTTATGGCTATCTTTACGATAGTTAATGGGTTTATAAACCAACAAACATCATTGGGTTGGCTCAACTTGTATCAACGAAACAAACATGGTGGGTTTGTGCAAAATCTTAAAATATATCCAGTGTCCACATGG